CTCTGACCCAGATCCATGTTAATGACTTATAGAATCTTTGTCAATGGATGTCAGAGTAGTGTTCATATTTACACCTATGTACAGCTTACCTGGCCTTCATTTGCACACTATTGATCAAGATGGGGGTGGAGTGGAGAGATGGCTTAGTGGTTAAGAGCACTGGCTGCAGTTGGTGGCTCTTCCAGAAGACCAGGGTTCAATTCCCAGCACCCACATGGCAGCTCACAGCTGTCTGTAACTCCAGCTCTAGAGAATCCAATGCCATCACACAGACATTCATGCAGACAAGACATTAATCAATTAAGTCATGAATTAAAAATATTTGGGGGTGCTGCTAGTCTCTGCCTGCTAAGATGCTGTTCCCCACTGTAAGGCACCAGTAATGCTCATTCATGGGTTGACATGAGTTTATTTCTCTGCTATATCCTGGCTAAGACCACAGTAAAGACCCATAGAAAGTCAGAGATGCTGACGTGGTCAGCATCCACCGGAAAGAGGAATCTTGCCTCTGTGTATCCCTTTGTTCTGGAGTCCCCTTGTTGTTTCCTTGGGTTTTCATTGTTGTTGTTTGTTTGTTTGTTTGCCTCTTCAGGGACTCCAACCATCTGCTAAAAGGACTAAGAAATTTCAGCGCAAAACTCTCAGTGTGAAGAACAGTGTGTGTGTGTTTGCTTGTGGTTGGTGAGTATGAACAAGTATGGAACTAATGAGTTTTGCTGACTGTTCACTTTAGAGCAGGAAAGAAATACCAAAATGCATACATACAGGCCAAATAAAAAAACAAATTTACAGCTTTGTGCCAGATGGCTCTTCCCTGCAACCTGGTCCCACAGCCAGGTCAGCTCCAAATAAACACACAGACACTGTGTTAATTGTGAAACTGTAGGCCAATGGCTTGGGCTTCTTATTGGCTAGCTCTGTCTTGATTATTAACCCATAACTACTAGTCTATGTACTTCTACATGATCTTATCTTACCAGAGAACGCCTGACTCGTGTGCTCTGTTCCTGGGCTCACTTGATGACTCTGACTGCCTACACTTCCCAGAATTCTTCGTCTAGTAGGCCAGCCTATCCTTCCTGCCTGGCCACTAGCCACACAGTGCTTTACTCGTCAACCAATAAGAGAAGCATATACAGAATAACATCTCCCATCACTGTTTAATGTTTTTTACCCTTTATTTGTCTGTGTGTGTGGCACCTGTATAAGCATGCATGTACCGGAAACCCTGTGGGGATCACAAGAAAACCCTCGGCATCACTTCTTTTCTTCCATCCTGTAGATCCCAAGGACTGAACTCAGGTGGTCAGACCTGGAGGCAAGCAGCTTTACCCACAGAGCCATCCACTGGCCCAAAAGAAATGTCTTTAGCTGACATGTATTTTGTAATTTCTGTTAATTGTGTTTAACAGTGGCAAACAGAGAAAGGTTCTTCCAAATTTCAAACACATGTCCATGAATGCTCATAAGAGTTTTGGTTGCATAAAATAGATACGGCTTAGTAATTATTAAAATTGAACTAAAATAGGTCAGGTTCTAGGTTTTCTGGTGATTCATAGATCCTCAGATAAATGTGTCACCAACTAACCATGCACCATGTTCATCTCTCTGAAGCCAGCAATAAGCTCAACTGTGGTTACAAGGACAAAGGGAGCAGAGGCAGCATGCAGGGCTTTGTACGGCCTGTGAGTACGGCAGAAACGGCCTTCTGGGAGACAGCTTCAGCTTTAAAGCTCAGCTTTGTTCCAGAATGAGGGGAGATCTAAAGGATGATGGGGACAGAGTCTGGGGCATCACCTAATCTGCATTAAACAGCACACCATCATGAGGCTGGGATACAATGCCTCATTACCTTAGGGTAGCATGCTCCTATCATCGCAGCCAAAGCACAAAGCCTGATGACCATGTGTGGCAGCAAGGGAAGAGCACCTTCAGGGAACTGTGTCAACGGTCGTGCCTGAGATAAGTCAGGCATCCGTGCTCAGGCCAGTCTCCAAATAAGGTCAGAAGGAGAGTAGCAAGTCGGTGCTAGGGGAAAGTAGTCTCCCCATCTTGCACCAGACTCAGAGAGTGCTGTCTGGACATGGTGCACTGCAACCTTAGTCCAGCAGGGATCCCCAACACCCACCTTTACTGAGGAGCTATTGGCGGTTGGTAGCCACTGGGGAGGGAGAAGGAGACTCGTTCTTTTTTTGAGGGTGTGGTTACTGGTAGGTTTCCCATGCTCCAGTGGATGGCCTCACACTGTGCACATATGGGCAGCTCTAATTGGACTTTGTGGGTTATCAAAACAATACAAATTTTAAAAAGACATGAAGCTGGGAGAAGGTTGTATTGGAAGAATAAGGGGGAGTCAGGAGGGGGAATGGGAGGATTATAATTCCATTCTATTCTATTCATTGTGTACATATGTTAAATTCTCAAGAGTAAGGGAAATTACATTTAAACAATGAAATAAAGTATGATATTCTCTTAGATAAAAATACCTTTTACTATTCGGATTTCATCTGGCAAGATGAGAGAAAGTATTTTGTTTTGTTTTGTTTGTCAGGCAGTCTCTTTCTGGGTGACCTTTTTTTGGCTCAGGATGAACAATTTGTGCACATTACAGTTAACACCCAACCCACAAAAATACATTTAAACCATTGAAAATGAAGCAATCGGATCCCCTTAAACATTTCACCATCTGGGCAAATAACACTCCCAGAGCCAAGACTGTTACCTAAGAAAATTTTTGAGTGTGTTACCCGAGCCTGTAAGGCAACAGGTAGGTGGATTGAGTGCCAATTAGAACGTGTTATGATTGGCACACTTCTGGGAAACTCTAAAACTGCACTTTAATGGAAAGGCTGGCTGATGTCCCCAAAGTACATTGTGAGGCCTCTCAGAACTTTAGAATTAGAAGCAACTGAATGGAAGTACTCGTCTGCGGGGAACTCAGATGGTCGGGCAGTAGGTAACATGAGGATTTGGGCCGGTATTTTGGATCTTAATTTGGTTCCCTGTTTTCATGGGCACCTTCGAGTCTCAGGGTGCGATGGAACCAGGGTTCGCTTGACAAACTCAACCTCAGCTCCAGTACTGGACCATCCCAAACAAGAGACAAGCCTGGGGAGCCCACATATATTAGGGCTCCCAAAACAGCCAATCCACCAGGTACCACATTAGACACAGTACAATGCTGGGATCCTGCTAGCAAGCCGACCCCAAGCCATGGGAGAAAAAACAATAATACCCAACTATTCCCAAGGAAGGGGTGGAACAAGCAGCCTTTTTGGGTTCTGGGAGCCTCTAGAACCATCCCCAATGTTTTGGATTTGGCCCTACAGTACACACTCTGCCCCAGGCCATTCTTCCCTTGAACTTTGAGGCCCAAGTGTATTTTAAGACAAATTGATCCCACATGCTTCATACTCATTTAAACTGAACTCATCAGGGATGTTTCGAAAGAGTGATTCAAGGGCCAAAAGGTCTTCTGAGCCTGCTTTTGTAAAGCCTCTTGGTGCTTTTTTTTTTCCTTAGAAGAAGGAAGACATATTTAGACAATGGCAACTAAAATGACAACCCTAGAGACTTGCGTCTGGTTCCAAATGTGGCTCCTTGGAAGCCAGTGGGTTCAGAAACCACAGGACAAAGTGTCTCAGCCTTCTGTGTCACAAGGAGAGTTGAGCCCATTCTGTGCTTAGCCTGGGTCAATGGTTCTGGTCCCTGCATCAGTGCCTACACTCAGCACATCTCTAACTCTGCCCTGTCCCTGACTCCTAAGTCCCCTCACAATCAGGGTCCCTTCTGGCCTTGCTCTGCAAGAGTCTCGCTGAAGGAATTTGTCTTTTTCTCCAAGCTTCCAAACTGAAGCCACTTGGATGGGTGTGATTAATGCTACCTGAGCCTGCCAGAACACTCGCTGTTGGGCATGGATGGAGTTAGTTCTAGTTAGAGAAAAAAAAAATGAACTAGGGCTGTGTCTATGGGCGAGAAGACAGGCTGGGCTGCTCAGATGAGAATGGTCATGCTTTTGCCTCTGCTGGAGAATCTGAAAACCCATGGCTTCGGTGGTGGTGCATGCCTTCAGTCCTGGGACCAGGAGGTAGAGGCAATCAAATCTCTGTATAACAGAGGCCAACCTAGTCTACATAGTGAATTTAAGGCCAATCAGGGCAATAATCTATCTTATAAACAAACAAACAAACAAACAAAACACACATATAAAATACATGTATGAATTATGCTCTAACCTGGGGCTCAGGGTACAGTTCTGGGCATCTTAGAGGCATTTAAATATATCACTAACAGGTGGGAATAGGAACCTCCATAGCCTGATCCTACAGATGTCTTTGGGTCTCAAGGAGTCCATTTTCTCCCTCTGGAGCCTACTATCCATTCCCGGGACTGGCCATGAACACAGTTAGTTGTCTAATCTGATCTCTTCTCTGGGCCTTGTGCTCCTTACCTCTGCCTGGGGAAAATCCATAGCTCCTGATCAGGGAAGATAGAAAGTTCTGGAAGAAACTGCACAGGTGCTGAAGGCAAGGTGGCCAGCACTTGGGCCTCACTAGCCCAACTCTCTCTAACAATGCATCTTCAACTCTGCTGCTTATTCTTTTTTTAACAAATTTGGATGCCCAGACCCTTCCCAGGACCAACAGCATCAGTATCTAGAGACAGGTCCTACCTAGTCAGTTTTCCTTCTACACAGGACCAAGGGCTATTCACTGTTTTACAGAGATTTGAATACATTCTTCCATTGCACTCTGTTCCCTGCCCTTAGAGAGTATTCACAGCAGAGCACATGAGAGGGCAACTATGAGAAAATTTGGGGTCAATGCTGACTCTCACTTTTCCAACACCCCTATTTCACAGTCCCCATCTCTTGCCTCACCTCTGGTCCAGCTATGGGGAAGGTTTCAGTCCCTTGGAGACCTTTCCAAGCCACAGCACAGACTTAAAACCAACCCCAAGCACTAAATTTTCCATGGTGTAAAAATTAACCAAACACAAGATTTCTTCAAATATTTAATCAGTCTGGATACCTCTGTCTTCCAACCCAGTTGGGTAAAAATCCTTAAGAAAGCATGATTAAGGGATCTTCATAAAAACTGGGCTTAGATGGAAGGAAGGTTGGGGTTGGGGGGTGGACAGAACGTAGCATATATCTGAGTTCTTTTGAAGGGACTCTACCACTTCAAAAACTCAAAATGCACATGAAAATCTTAAACAGTCATACAAATTTTAAGGCCAATTAAAACCTTCTTTTATGCTGAAAATATCAGATGTTGTTTTAAAATAGACTCTTTAAAAAAACCTTAGATCCTGCTGTGGTGTGTTTCCAGAGCCTTCTCGGCACACACACGAAGCAAACTAGCTATACCCAGCATTTCCCATGAGCCCATGGGGACTTTTGCAAAGCAGCAATGCAGCAAGAGACGGAGGAAGGAGTGGAACAGGCTGGAGCAAGCCACTCAGTCTTTGAACACAGACTCAAACCCCAGCAAACTTAATCTACTTTCTCTGGGGGAAAGAAAAGATGGAAATAAATGGAAGGCTTGAAGAGTCCCTGGCCACCTCACCTCAGGGGGCCAAGGAGAATACTTTGGGATAACTGCATCGTGGGACCTGGGAACAAGGTGTCCTTCAGAGTGACAGCTGGCAATAGTACAGGGAGGGGTCAGGATGCTGGGATGATGCCCCAGGGAGATATTCAGCAGGAAAGGTGCAATGTCGGTCTCGCTCCCATTCTCCTGGTTTCCTCTCTCCTCCTGTCCCTTGGTGCTAGTGAAAGGCAGTGAGTGCCAGAGGCCTTAGCTGGAGGCTCAGAATGGGTACTGTGACACATATATCCGCAGTCGGATCACAGAGCTGCCTCTGAAGTTGATGACAGTGTTGACAGTGATCATCTCCAAGTCCAGCTGGATGTCCCGAGGCCCTTTGATGGGGCGTGTCATCACCAGGGTAGCGCTGATAGGCCCTGTTTGCTGTGGACAGAACCAGGGGGCATGGGTTAAAAAGGAGATGGCGTTAGCACAAGGGATGGCTGGGGGAGTAGCAGCCTCGGCTAGGATGCTCAGGCTAGCCTGCTCTAGTGTCACCATGACCATGGTGTCACCCATTGCCTCAGTGGAGCAGAGCTCTTTCCAAACTTTGCCCACTCTTTACCTGAAAGGTCATTCCTGCAGCAAGCTTCCTCTGATTCCCTAGTCTAAGTCAGATAGATCCCCCTACCCCATCCTGCAGACCCTTCAACTTCGCACACAAAAGAAAGGATGTATTATTGTATATAATTGTGTATGCCACACCCTTGGTCCATGTCTGCTGTCAAGGTCCCTTCTAGACAGTGAAAACATCCCCATGACATACCATGGAACCATTGTTTAGAAAAATGTCTGCCATATCTGTGGGCTCTCATCCTAGCATTCAACCAACAGGGAAAAAATCCTACACTTTTACTGAGCATGTGCAGACCTATTCCTTATTGGTGTTCCCTAAGTGAGACAGTCTAACAACTACTTGCACAGCAGTAACATTAGTAATTTCCAAATGAATGACATCACCTGAGATATTTAAACAACATGATGATGGTGGTGGTAGTGGTGGTGATGATGGTGATTAATGATTCCATTTCAGGATTTTCTAATTACTGTGGTGGCTTAAATGAGACTGTCTCCATACGCTCATACATTTGAATGTGTGGTCCTCAGTTGGTAGAACTGTCTGGGAAGGATTAGGAGGTGTGGCTTGTTGGAGGAGGTGCGTCATTGGGAGTAGACTTCGAGAGCTCAAAAGCCACTGCATACCCAGTTAGTTCTCTCGGCCTCATAGCTGTGGATCAAGATGTGAGCTCTCAGCGACTGCTCCAGCACCAGCTTGCCTGCCTGCTATTGTCATGCTCCCCACCACGATGATCATGGACTCTATCTGCAACTGTGAGCCCTAAATTAAACACCTTTTTTTTTTTTTTTAATAAGTTGCCTTGGTTATGGTGTCTTATCCCAACAATAAAAAAAATAATAATGAAGACAAGAACTTTTTAGGAAAAGTGAAATTTGTTAAAAAGCCAACCTCTGGGCACCCTGTAGTCTCCCCCAAAGCCACTCATCTGTGACCATATCAATGAGATGCTAATAAGTCATGTGAACTTTACTCTAGCACAAAACCTTTCTAGGACTTTCAAAGTGGCACACAGAGAGGATGCTAGCATCAATTGGGTACCAAGTAGGGGCATATGCCCCCTGTCTCTTTTTAATATATGTCTACTTATTCCATTCCCATAAGACCTTCAGAGGCCTTGGATTAGCACATTGAGGTATACAGAAATAGTCAGTGGACTCCTAGGCTCTACCCAAGATCTATTGAGCCACAGTCTGCAGCTTAACAGGGTCCAGGGTGATTGATGGATGCATGACCAATTAAATAGTGCTGACCTAAAAGCAATGGATCCTGGGGGGTGGGGATAGTCTTACATAAGGACTATCCTAAAGGTATCTCTCGTTATTCCATCCAATAAACAAGCAAACTGGGACCTACTGGGTTAAATCATTGCTTGGGGTCATCCAGGAGTAGAACTAGGAACTTTCATTTGGATTTTCTACCTGCCTGCAAACCTCTTTTCAATATTCAACAATTATCAGAAGAGACTATGGGCTTTGAGTCTTCTCCCCAGTAATGACCTAAATAGACGTTCCCAGGGCCAGTGAAACAGACAGACAGATGTCTGCAGAGGAAATAGCACAGGGGAGAATATGGACAGGCTGGATAATAACTTCCCAGAAGCTGCAGTACCCAGAAAATAAAAGAACAACCTCCACAAAATCAAGGAACTTGACCCGGATAAAATCATATCAGGCATTTACTTTGCCTCCCCATAAAGTTTGGCCCCTCCTCCAAGAACGGCCACCCATATGACAGGTGGGGCTAGCAGACAGGTGCGGGGCCAAGCACTAGACCTGCCTGGTCCATCCAGGTGTCAGCAGTTACAGCCACGCAGTTTCCTCCTGGCACTGGCTTTCTGTATTTGCGTCAGCACCACGTAATCAGTACTTCCTTGTCCAGACTTCCTTCTTAGCTCTTTCAAAACCCCGGAGGCCGGTGCCAGGGCTTCAGCAGGGACAGCCATGCAGGGAACGGCCACAGCCTCCATGCATTCGTTCGTTTTGTCAGTTTTCACTGTCTGCTTAACTCTGAAGGTGGACTGTGAGGAGAGTAGTTTGCAGAGCTGTGCGTCTGAATGGGAAGCGGTGCAAAGAGAAGCTGAGGGGCTATTCCTTTGAGCGATATCCTGCGTGTCTGAAGTAGTGCTAGACCCTCCATCTAGAGTCCAGATTCTGGCTGGGCCAGAGCCTTTGAACTCTGGAAAAGGTTTGCCCACAGCACCTGGGAATACTCAAGTAACAGCCAGGAGTGAGGACAGCTACTTCCCCGCCAAATTCAACTTTTCAGGCATTACTGAAACACCCACCCTAAGACTCCTGGTCATTAATGGCTTTGATAACCACGATTCAAAACAACAGTGATAAGGCTGGGGACACATCTCAGAGATGGAGCACCTGCCTAGTGTGTATGAGGCCATGGGTTTGATCCCTAAGATCTTACACACCCCAAAATGATGGCCATATGAGGTCAGGCTCAACTTAACCCTGTAAATAGGCTGAGGACTATGGCCCTTATGACCCATAAGGTCATAAGACTAGTAGAATGCTAGAAGAACTGGCTCTAAAAGACTTGTTTTCAATCACCGGGTTCCTGTCTCTCCATTTTCTACCATCGCACAGCATGGATTTGGCTTTGTTAGTTGGTTCCCCATGTCTACCTCAGGGTTTGTGCTTAGACAGAAGCCATATCTGTTTGTGTCTGAATTCAGTGCCCAGCACAAATCTGCGTGCTGGGTGAATGATGGAGGAAAGCTGGCGGAACTGACCCAAAGGAGGGTGAGTTACATTCAGCCCACCGGGTCCCTGTCGCCGTGAGTGAAACATAATTGGGCACAGTCTAAACTCTATGATCTTCTCTTTCTTCTAGTTCTAGCTGTGTCTCCAAGCCCCCTGATAAAAGCCAATCCAGGTCTCTGTGCAGAGCTCCAGTCTGTGCAGTGCTCACGGGGTTTGTGAAAGAGCCTGTACAGATGCATGTGTGTGCATCCCCGTGTATGTGCTTGTAACATGTGTAATGTGTGTTTGTATGTGTCTGTGAACAAGTATATATGTGCTTGCATGTAGATGTGTGTGAGCATGTGTGATTGGAGAGGTAGATATATGGCTTGTCTGCTGGCTGAGACTCTACTACTCCCAAGTGCTTCTAATTTAAAAAAAAAAAAAAAAAACAACGAACCTTGGGTTAGTAGAACCTGAATGGCCACATGATGCTCCAGCCCCTGGATAGCATTCCCTACTTTTACAAAACTTGGGAGGTTGTGGCTTCCTTACAATTGTGATAGCAGTAGCAGTGGCAATAGCAGTGCATATACAATAATTATAGTTATTGAATGCTTTCTATTGCTACCTGATGCTCTTCTGGGACCCTAACATGGGAAGAGTAAGTCAAAATATTCCACATACCAGAGAGGAACGTGCAGGTCCTGAGTAAGGGCTGCCTGTCAGGTTGCAGGGGCACCCTGCCATCCTCACCAATGGAAATCCATGGGGAACATAGGGCCATAAATAAAGTCTTGATATGGCAAGTGGCCAACCAGAGACCCTATTGCCCATAATGGGAAATGGTCAGCGGGACACCCCCAGTCAAACAGAGATTTTTTTTTAATTCAGCGTGATGTAGCAAGAGTTTGAGTGTCTGTCCCTGTAAAGGGCCTGGCTCCTGGCTACAGTGATTAGGATATTAGGAGAACCCTGGTTGTCCATCTCACCCATTGCATGACATATGTAGCCTACCCCTAACCCTGAAAGGTCCGAAAAGCACTGCTATCCTTGCTGAAAAAGCCTGTGAAGACAGCAGCACCAGGGTCAGCAAAGAACGAGATTGGAGGTTGTGATTTGCACACAAGGCAGCCGAGACTTCGGCGAGAGAGAATGGGACAGTAGAATAGTGGCCATCGACTCTTCCTGGCTGTGATGCCACCTAAGGATATACAGGTTTGAGGCAGCAGTGCTCACACCCTTCCACCCTGCACGTTTGACAAAAAGTCATTCCGTGAGCTAATCCTAGAGTAAACATTAGAATCTCTAAAGATCAGGGAGTTGAGACGCAGAGCAGTTAGATAACATGCCCAAGATCTCAGGGCTGGAGGGAACTGGAGAAGCCCAAGAAACAGGACTCAGCCCGGCCACAATAACACAAGTGAGTGGCCCCTGGGGAGGGCCCTGAGCTCTGGACAGCCTGGTGCTCAGAGGCCCATCTCGTCCTACTAGCTCCAGTGTCCTGTCCTCAAACCCTGTGGCTTCCCCGAGTTCACCCCAAACCTTTGTCTGATCCCGGGTGCGGTCTTGGAGACCTTGGCTACCTCCTCCATCCTTCAGTTACTTTGGTCAGTTTTATTGCAGGCCTATGTCCCTTTGTTCCTTCGATGTCTCCTCTGAATAAAACCACTAAAGATTGCAGGTCCTCCTTAGCTTTCTCAGAGAGAGACAAGCTATGTGGCACTTTGAGCTCAGTGTCCAGTGTTCCTTAGCTGCTATGACAGTCTGGGCCAGGGGAAGTTCTAAGGAATGAGGTCTCCCTCCTGTCCACTCCATCTATAGAACAAACACCATTTCTCACAACCTGAGCACCTCTCAGGCTCATCACCAGAATGTCTGTGGGGTCTGGGGGATCCTACTGGGAGGTGTTCAGCAGAGTGACCCTTTGCCTAGACTCGGTAGCCTCTACAGAACTCCTTCCCTATCTGGAGCTGGGGGAGAACTGAGGCAAGAAAAATCAATGATGGAGTTTTAAATCCCCACAAGGCATCTCTTCACCCCACAATTGGGACTCCTGTGTCTCCAGATGAAGGACACTGGTGGCTGGGCTTACCTTGAGAGGACAGTCAGCCCACCAAGACCTGGCAGGAGCAAGTATATGACAGACACCAGTGCTTATGAGCTCAAGGAAAGAACACACACACACACACACACACACACACACACACACACGCATGCACGCGCACACACACGTACGTACACGCAAGCACGCGCACACACACACGTGTGTGCACACACATGCGTACATACACACACGGATGCCCATACATACATGCACTCACACACACATGTACACATGCACTCATGTACACACATGCATGCACACACATGTACGCACGCACACACACACACATGTATACACAGCACTCCATCTCTTTCCTCTTTCTGAAGATCCCCCACTACTCATGCCAACTTCTCTCCAAGCCTTTGATCTTTGTGCTTTAGTATAGGCCAGCTCTAAACCAGTTCCACAAGTCAGGTAGTCACACATGACCTGATTCTGTTAGGCTATCACTGATAGCAGATAATGTTAATGAGAATACACTGGTCCCTGAGATTGATAGCCCCAGAGGCAAGGACTGAAAGATTCTGTCAAGGGGCAGGGGAATGGCATGCAGTACAGAGATAAAGCTCTGTTACAGGTCAAGTGGGTAAAATGCCCCCTGATCCATCCTTCTGAGTATAACTCCCTATAGTGACTTTGGAGGACCACATTCAGGCTCCTGTGTGTTCAGTGGGCCCAATTGTGATCCTAGAGACAGCTAGGTCCCAATCCTGGTAAAGTGTAAATATTGTAAGAAAAAAAAGGGAGGGTTGAAGATGAGATGAAGGGTCTGAACCCAGGGAAATGGGTGTCCGAGGTCAAATCCCAAGAGTCTCTGTGAGAGCGTGGCAAGGGGCACTCCAGCCATACGCAGAAGAGGTGGCAGGCAGAAAAATATGTAAATGAAACTGGAGTGATGTGGCCACAGTCAGGATGTGTTGGCTAGTTTTATGTCAACATGACACAAGCAAGAATCATTGAAGAGGAGGGTGCCTCAACTGAGAAAATTAAGCTGTAGACAAACCTGTAGGGAATTTTCTTAGTTGGTGATTTATGGATAAGGGCCAAATCCATTATGGGTGATGCCATCCCTGGGCAGATGGTCCTGGGTTCTATAAGAAAGCAGGCTGAGTAAGCCATTAGGTGCAAGCCTGTAAGCAGCACCCTCCACAGCCTCTGCATCAGTGCCTGCCTTTAGGCTCCTACCCTGTTTTGAGTTCCTGTCCTGACTTCCTTCATTGATGGACTATGATGTGGAAGTGTAATCCAAATAAATCCTTTCCTCTTGCTTTGGTCATGATGTTTCATTGCAGCAATAGAAACCCTAGCTGATACACAGGACACGTGGCAACCACCAGAAGCCAGAAGACAATGGGAATGCTTGTCCTTTAGATGGGACATACAGCCCTGGAATGCTTTGGTGTGGACATACAGAAATAATTTCAGACACTTTGGCATCCAAAACTATGAAGAAATACATTTCTGTTGCTTAAAACCACCAGGCTTGTGGTCGTTTGCTACAACAGCCACAATAATGAGCATCCTGGGCCCTTCTGACTGTTGTGTGTGCATTCGTGTATATGTATAAGTATGTACATCAAGTGTTTTCTCTCTCGATAGCGCTTGCTCTCTCTCTCTCTCTCCCTCTCTCCCTCTCCCTCTCTCTCTCTCGACAAGGTCTCACTATAGCCCTGGCTGGTCTGGAACTTGCTATGTAGACCAGGCTAGCCTGAACTCACAAAGATCCTCCTGCCTTTGTCTCCACTGTGCTGAGTTCCAGGATTAAAGGTATTTTCTACCAAGACTTGTTCCACTTATTTTTTGAGATAGGGTCTCCCTCACTGAGCCAGAAACTCACCAGTTCAGCTTGGTAAATCCCAGGAATCCCCCTGTCTCCACCTCCCAGCATTGGGATCTCAGGCACACATTGCCCTGGTTTTACCATCTGGAACAGGTCATCTAGAGATGAAGCTCTAGAACCTTCCCCCTAGACAAGTGCCTACATGCATGACACAATATGACAGAGAGGGTTCTAGTCCAGTGGTCTGTAAGGAGGTAAGCACTCCAGGGTCTGAAGAGATGAGAGTTCAGTCATATACATGGCATGGTACCAAATGTACGCACATGCCATGATGTTAAATGTACATACATGGTGTGATACTAAAGGCACATACACACCATGGTCCTAAACATATATGCACAGCATGGTATTGAAAGTATGTGATTTACTTTAAAGAGTAAGCACATTTTAGGATGTGTGCTATAACACTTTCCATTGGTGTGACTAAGTCAGTCGAACTTTCTGGTGTTCCGTATCTGAGCTATTCTGTGCCACAGCTGTAGGTGCTAAACCGTACTCAAAATGTACTGAAAGCCTGGAAAGAGATTTTTATTTCATTTTAATTTCTTGAGATTTTAAAAGTGTCAGTGTCTACTGTGTAGGCAAATTCAGTAGAGTCCACATCTGAAAACTATTCTTGTTTTTGTTTGGGTTTTTGTTTTGTTTTGTTTTTTGTTTTTTCTAGCATGTAAGTGCTATGACTGAGGGTTTGGGTGCTCTCTTTATTTGGTTTTCTAAGGCACGGTTCCTCTGTATAACCACCCTTCCTATCCTGGAACTCACTCTATAGACTAGACTGACCTCAAACTCACAGACATCCACCTGCTTCTGTCTCTTGAGTGCTGGGATTAAAGATGTGTACCATTATGTCTGGCTGAATGTGTAAGCAAAGATGTGGAATCTCTCCCATAGTTTTCAAATTAAGACTGTATCATGGCCAAACTTCTCATTTTCTAGAAGGGGCTCCTGAGACATGAAAGAAAAACACCTTCCACAAGACCATGCAGAAAGCAATAGAAGAGACACCGTGAGCCCTGGAGTCCTACCTCTCCTCTCCTCTCCTCTCCTCTCCCCTCCCCTCTCCTCCCCTCCCCTCTTTTCTCCTGTTCTTTCCACACTTGCTCCTCTGATCTACATTCTTACCATGAAACATGATTATAGACTATACCACACAAGGCTGTTACTAAAGCTAGAAATCATGGCCAGGCTGTGTTTGTGCTCATCTTTAACCCCAGCACTTGAGAGGCAGAGGCAGAGGCAGGTGTATCTCTGGGAGTTCCAGGCCAGCCTGGTCTACAAATCAAGTTCCAGGACAGCCAGGGCTGTTACACAGAGAAACCCTGTCTCAGAAAAAAAAAAAAAAAAAAAAAAAAAAAAAAAAAAAAGATTAGAAACCACTAGGCATCGAGTGATAGTGGAAGAAAGTGAAGAGTAATAGAATGAAGACAGTTAACATTGGCCTCTGGCCTTGACTTGCACACGCACACACCAAGAGTGGCCTCTGCTAAAGATGACGGCCATTGTTAAAGGTGGCAGGCACAGCTCACACTTCCTCTTACCCGCATGTAGAACTCCCGACCCTCATTGCCAGATTTGATCTGGAAAATATAATAAGCGCCAGGGTAGCGGGTTGTTGCTTGCATCTGGAAGATGTCAGCAGGAACAGAGCGTCCTGATACTACGTCCATGTCCCGAAACAAGATGGTAAAGGGCTGGTCTCTGCAGCCAGTGTTCTCAGCAGGACACATACAGCGGCTGGTAGGAGAGAGATCTTGTGAGTCCTCAGAAAACCCTTTTCAGGCACTGGCCATGCCTACTTCCCCACTTTAAAAACCAGAAACGATGCCAAGTCACTCTCACCACCCACTGGAGTATCTGAAGAACATCTCTGTTCTCATTCTAATCTGAAGGCTCCCTAGAATGTAGATGAGCTCCACCTCCTAGACAGTAGCCTTCCAGGCTGGTATCAGAAACTATGGCTACTAAAGGATTTAATTGGATCTCTGGTCACTGGAACACTGGGACATTCTCCAGTGTCTAGATACACTTCACATGTGTCCTGTTTCTAGACATGCACTGATGGCCATAGAGCCCTCACTCCCCAGTCAAGGACACTCAAGAAAATTTAAAGTGGAGGCTGGACAGATGTCAGCAGTTAAGAGCACTGGTTGCTTCTCCAGAGGACCCAGGTTCAATTCCCAGCACCCTCATGGCAGCTCACAACTATCTGTACTCCATTCCCAGACATGGCAGCTCACAACGGTCTATAACTCACTCCCAGGGTGATCCAATGCTCTCTTCTGGCTTCTTCGGGCACCAAGCATACATATAGTGAATGGACACACATGCAGACAAAACACCCTTACATATTTAAAATGTTTAAAGACTATTTAAAACTGAAAATTACATTCCACTGATGGTTTCAAGGGTCCTTTATACTCTGTTGCACTCAGTTCAATATGTGTGGGCTATAATTGAATCTTTTTTATCCAATATGCAAGAGCTCAGAACTCACTGACACTTCAGAACTTCAATATTAAGTAACACCATGATCTCAAGCAGTTTGTCTTCTAATAGGAAAAATACAAATATTTAAACACAGGTATTCCTAACTCAGAGCTGATCATTTCAAACCCTAGCAACATCATAACCTAACAAAGAACCATGGGCATCTGTTGCTAAGGAACGCCTTAGGGACTCCTGCTGACTTACTCTTCTTCTATCCCCAGGGCTCCCCTTAGGGAGCAGAGCTCACAGTGGGGGGGGGGGCATTTAAAGAGGCATCAGAACCTAGGGTTCAGTTTGGAAGTGGAACTGGCAGTTTTTGTAGATAGAATGGATGTTAGGGAGCGATGACCTAAACAGAAGAATGTTGACCCCTCGGTGCTAGCCACTGGGTCAGGCATCTCCTCTTCTCACCTGGGGCCACTGTGATGGCCCCCTTCAGACTGCCCTTTGTCAAACTAAATCACACTAGATCTGTCCCCTTCACACTCTTCAGTGGCCCCTCAGTGAGGCTTGAATGAAAACTGAACACAGGTTTTAGCCTCCTGGGCCTCGATGAGCCTGCTGGGTCTGCCACCCCACCTCCAATGCCCTAAAGCTTTTTCAGGCCACCAGGCCACCTTTCCTCAGCCTTCCTGTGCTGCAGGAGCTCAGCTTAAAGGGCCAACCTTCACTCTGTTCCCTCTGCTCTTCCAGGCTCTGTTTACTTAAGGCCGACTCAACTTCCAGCCCTACCCTGAGGTCGCTTTCCCAGAGGCCTTTAGATCCCTGGAACAGGCCCAACCTCCTCGTCCTTTTTCTGCAATCCCCTTGCTCAGCCTAACATTGTGTCTCCGCTCTTATGCCAACTTGTTTCATGCCTTTCTCCTTTCTAGCCTTTTGGTTGGTCACATAGACCCAGGAAGGAGCTGAAGCTGGCCTAGGAGTGAGTGCTCCCTTGTCCCCCTCTGAGTGCCCAGCCCCTGCTTGTGCTCCCACAGCCTCTCACCTTTCTCCTGCTCTTTCAGGAGCTCCTGACACCTCCATTATTCTCTCTCACCATCTGGCTTCCCTAGCCCTGGCCATATCCAGTCTGTTTCTCTTTTCCCTCTGCTCTGGACTCTTCGTGATGTCTCTGGACATTTTCTCTCTCTTATTCACAATGAAAGCAGACCCCCAAATACAGCGGTCTTGGTGGCAGTTTCTTGACTGTGTCCCCTCCCATACAACCTCAAGCTTCTCAAGAGCAAAGCCACACAACAACACCTAGCGCCTAACTGTAGTGACTAACAGTTAACAAGCAAAGACTACAAAGACCCATCAAAAGTATCATTTTGTTAAGGCTGCACCAAAACAGCCAAGTCTAAGTAGGTCCTGGTGCCAAAATGGTCACATTAAAATGTCACATGTCAGAGAGGAAATAATTGTTTCCTAAAAGAAATTTGGAGGAGGGAATGATGGCTCCCAGCTGATGGGGATCATGAACAGCTGGAAGAGGGTTACGGAGCAGAAATCTAAAAGATCGGCTGGGTCTGGCCACAAGGAGAGGGAAGAAATGCCTCCCATCTGGCAGGAAATGTGTGCATTGGAGGCTGGGGCCTCTGGGTGTTGGTCAAGGTGAGTGCAAGTCCTGTTCCAGCTGGCAGGGACACAGGACACCTGAGCAGGCAAGAGCTGGAAAGGGGTGGCCATCACATGGGCCTGGGGCTTTAAAGGAGGAAGTCACCAAGCTTTTCCAGGGCAGAGGCTTCACTGGTAACATCCGCTCGAGGCTGCCAGTTGGATGAAATCAGTTTCTAGCCAGCCAAGCCCAGAGAGACCCACGCCTGGCGAGCAGCCTAACCCTCTGCTGGGCTGCTTGGGGATTCAGAATCAGAAACGGGAAGGCCCCTGTACTAGAGAATCACTTGGAAGCACAGCTCATAGCCACAACTGACAACAGCTCTGAAGGAGCACCCAGCCCTGCCTTTTCACCTTCTTTTGCCCGTTGTTTGTTTTGTTTGTTGTTGTTGTTGTTGTTTAATCACAGCAGGAACCACTTGGTAAGCCCTGAATTCTCTTTGAGAGAAGACTGGGATGGGTGTGGCTGAGCCAGTCATTCATCTCCACTGTGAGGGTTTGCAGGTGCCGGGGGGACAGGGAGGGTAGCTGACCGAGGAGAGGGTGGCAGATGTACAAGCTTGTGTGCACTATATGTACGCTGTATGCTCTGCAGGCAGGGTGAGGAACGGAGATGGGCCAGCAGGGGGTGGGGGTAAAGGGAAAGGAAAGAAACACAGAGGACTCTGGGGCTAGAAACATGGCCAGTGCTGTTGTCTTGCTGAGGCTGCCTTCTCAACATTATTACTTGCCAAGTGATGATTTAGTCAGTGGTCTGCCTTTAGGACTTCAGAAACTTGACTAGGGCAAACTAGTTAGCCTTGAGTATTGAGAGCTCCAGAATTCTCCAGCAGCTTTCCACTCACAGAGCAGTCCCTGGTCAGGAAATCTTCATTTCTCCTGAGGCTTGCCAGAAGGGCAAAATCACAGCCCTCTCCCAGATTACACTCTTGCATCTAAGCCCACACGCGCTAGGAAGATCCTAGGGGGAAGCCTGTGTGCCACATTTGAGAAGCTCGTCTCTGAAAGACCCCATGTACTAGAATGTCTGTTGGTAGGAGAATCCTACTCATGAACTGCGCCTCTCTACTAGTTAGCTTTCTCGATAATCTTCATACAGCCCTGACATGTATGACGGAGTGACACAGAAGAAAGTCATAGGTTGGCATGTAGCCACTTGCATTAAGTAGGGAGCAGGCCAGATCTCCAGACTCCTTGGCTCAAGTAAGCTCCTTTATGGGATACTGACAGTCTCCTGAGCCAGGTCCCCACCCCGTCGACTTTCAAAGGACTAGCCTTGACTTACTTATCGCCAATCAGCAGATATGGCTCCTCACAGCGGATGGGGTCAATACACTTGAAGCCCCCTTGTAAATTGTAGCAACTCTGCAGTGGAGTGCATGTGTGGTTTCTGTGTTCACACTCATTGATATCTGAAATGCAGGGTAGAGAAGAACCATGGTGTTAGTCCTGGACCAGGTGTTAGGGGCGGGGATGAGGGTGAGAGCCACTTGCATCGTACTATCCAATAGTAAAGCCATTGGCCCTGCAGTTATGGGGCACTCAAAATGTGAGTAGTGAAAATTGGGATGTGATTGCAACAGGAAATAAACACCAGACCTCTAGGATTTAGTAAAAAGAAAGAATGTATAGTACTTACTAGTGACTTTTATATTGAATATGTATTAAAGCTATAAAATGTTTGGATCGATTGCTTTAAATGAAGTATAGCATTAAAAGTAACTTCATCTGTTTGTGTTTATTATTTTTAATGTGGCTACTAAATGAGTTGAGTTAGACGGCTCATGTGTTTAGTAACTCACATGACATTTCTAATGCCTAACACCACCATGGATAATTTTTGTTTGATGTCGGGATAAGATTAATAACGGGGCAATAATTCTACAAGATCCCCAGTAGCTACAGTGTAGGGCTTCCAATCTGGAGAAGACTTGGCCTTTTCATATTCAGGGCCTGCACCCTATGGGGGACCTAGTAGTTGGGTAGCTGAGGGCCCCCAGCATTCAATCTCTAGGAAGTCATAGGAGGCCAGTAAAGCAAACCACCCTCAACGCAACATGAGAAATAGCCAACACTGATGTGTTAATTGCTAAAAGGCTACAAGGAGCCTTGGTTAGTCCTGAAACAATCATTCATGGATTTGCTTCTACCTCTGCAGGGTTCATTGTAGACATGTTCTGGCCAAAGGACAGGTTACTGCAGAGGAAGAGGGAGCTATCCACTCAGATGTCCTGCCCACACTGCAGGCCCCCAGCACACCCAATCCTGAAGGTAAATGATCCCAAAGGATGAGACATCCAGATGACCATCTGAGTCAGCCCCATATAGGCCCCTCTGGACAGTCTTACCCTGGCAGCTCCGGTTGTCATCCAAGAGGACGTAGCCTGGGGGGCACGAGCAGAAGTATGAGCCAGGCTGGTTCACGCACTCATGTTGGCAGAGGAACTCAGAGAAGCTGCACTCATCCATATCTGAGAGCGACAAGGTATAGCTGGTGTTTATTTTCACAGATTATCTCCGACACCCACTCTTTCCTAATAGAGACAATGACTTCAATGCTATGAGATTGCCAATTTATTTCCTGATCACATCTGCTAATGATGAGCTTACTCCCCATGCAGACAACCATTGATATTTTGATAGCTCTACTGAGATGGCAAGAAGCAAGGCCAGCACAATGTCTCTGGTGGCCTGACTGTCTCAGATGTTCCCTGGGACAAGAGATACAGCAGTCTCCAGCCAGCCTGGAACCATCCTGCGGAGGATGACTGGGGATGGCATTGTCCCAGTGATGCTACCATTAGTCTTCATAGACCTTGGCAGCTGACACTGGAGCAGGCGTTCCAGAAAAGCCAGCTCTTCAGCGCACACAGAATTTGGCAACGCAGGCCCCATTTGCGCCTCATTCAACAGGCACGCCAAAGAAAACATGTTTTTCTTACATTTGTTGTTTCCCGAAAATCTCTTTCACTGGTTTCCCCATGTGACATGTCCTTGGATTACTCTGTAACTCAGACCACTGACGGTTCGGATCACCCAGAGAGAGTGTCTGCGTGAAAGAGGCTGCTGCTTTGTCTTTGGAGAATCCACGCGTCACATGGCCACTGCTTTCCATATCCAAGAAGGGAACCTCTCCCTATCTTTCTGAGCTGTCTCCCAGGCACAGGTGACGGGTCAGTGGAGTTAGGATGACATCCCCTAACTGAAGTTAGCATAGTCCAGTATTATTCAATCCACCACCAGCTTTTCAGAGAAATCTAGGGACTCTGGCCCCAGCCTATCATAACACAATGCCATAATTTGTTTCTGTGTAGTTTGCAATTCCCTTAATTCCTTTACTTAATGTTAGTAATAGTGTCTATCGATTCCTAAGGACTCCTATGTGTCAACCCCCATGTTAAATGTTCAACATGTCTTATCGTATTTAATCCCCACCTCAACCCTGAGAAGGTGCTGTGACTATCTGGATTTAAATAAATAAATAAATAAATAAATAAATAAATAAATAAATAAGGAGGGAGGGAGGGAGGAAGGAAGGAAGGAAGGAAGCTCACAGGGCTTAGACAATCAGACCAAGTTCATAGATCAAATGATTACATAGGAAATCATAGATCTGAATGTGGCATCTCAATATGACTCTGGTGAACATGATGAGGTAACATCCTGTTCAGGACCTAGAAATCGTCAGATCTGGGGGTGCCAATATGGGAGAAATACCTCAGCATAGTTCAGTAGAAGGGGAGGAAAAGCCCACCCTACCTTCTACTGAGTGAAGGAGGGTTACCAACCCCCTACAATGTGGTTTGTCTTAGCATCTGCAATTCCAAAATTCCAGAAAGATTGTGTGTGTGTGTGTGTGTGTGTGTGTGTGTGTGTGTGGTCCCCACACACACAGCCCCCACAAAGGGCTGTGGCTTTTTCCTCCACATAATAGAAACAAGGTATTGAGCAAGGAGCAGGCCTTAGGCCATTTTCATTCCTCTTATTAAAACCCCATCTATCTTCTAGGATCAGCATGGCTCAGTAAATCCCAGGAGGACAAGGGAACACTGCTTGGGAGGGTCCAGTGTTGTAAAAGGGGCTACCTCAGCTTTGAGAGGCAAGTGAGGATAATAGTGTCCCATTGTCTAGAGAAAGTGCAAATTCCTGAGGCCACTGCTAGCTAGCTACAACACCTGCTGGAGCCAGGGCTCCCGTTAAAGTTAGCAGAGGTGGTATCCAGTGGCCGCAAAGCAAATGCGGGTGATTTAGAGTCAGGTGAGAAAATCCTGTCAAACTAGAAAGGATTTGCGCTCCTCGTGAAGCCCAAAGCTCCTAATACTTAGGGAAGATTCATTATGTGGTTATGCCATTGAAGAACACCAATTTGTCTAGTCCTTGTGACCATTCCATGAAGACAGTTATCCATCCACGAGGAAACTGAGGCTTGGGCGGCACCCTGGCCATGAAAACAGGGATAGCCAAGGCTTTGAACCCAGACACATCTGGCTCCCGAGTCCTTACCTGACAGTGGTCAATAAAAGTCTATGGGGTTGAAAGTAAGTCTGGGGAAACCACTACCACTACATCCCATAGTGCACAACTTTCCACGTCTCTCACTTCTTTTGCCCAGATTCCCTAAGGAATGCCATGAGGGGAATTGAAATCTAGAAAGAAATGGGTCTTTGATGCCTCTGGGTGGGGCTGGTATTTAATCAGGTTGAGGCTCTGTGACTGCTAGCTGTGGCTCTGAGGGTCCTGGCCTTGAAGAGAGGAGACCATTTGTTTCTGAGAACTCTATTCCTAGAACATCCCAGTCCCCGGGAAGGCTGGCAAATAAGCTCATTCACAGCCTTGGTAGGTTCCTGTTACAGTGAAACCCAAGAATCTTTCCATTCTTCCGGGTAGTTTTCACACCTAAAGCACCACCCACTTTTATTTTGAAAATCACAAGAAACAGACAGAGCTAATTCACAACCACAGAGCAGGTTAAAACTGGTGGGTTGATTTTACATTAGCAAAACATTCACAAAGAACAGAGAGAGAGAGAGGGAGAGACAGACAGACAGATAGACAGACAGACAGACAGACAGAGACATACAGGTGAGCCCATACCACAGACTAAATATAAATAAAATGTGTTTCTTAGTCTCAAAAAGTTCTAACTTTCAGAATAGTTTTTTTTTTTTTGTTTGTTTGTTTGTTTGTTTTTTTAAACTTTCTAGGAGCCTAACTTCTGGGCTGTCGGGAGAGGAGGTTAATAAGATAATTACAACAGATTCAAGAAACTAGACTGGAAAATGAGAGCAATTAGAGCTTGAATGAAATGTGTAAAAAAAAAAAAGAAAAGAAAAGAAAAAAGAAAACAAGTCAACTAAACCATGTTTATGTTCTCGAGACAAATGGCTAAGTTTACACTCACTCAATACTCAATAGTCACTCTACTTACTGGTTCAAGACCTATTTGCTACATGCTCTCTGTGTACCAGGCCTAGATCTGGGTTGTGGTTGTTTGGTGGCATTCCCAAAGCACACAAAAGTATATGCACTTACATGTATGGTTTCTTTACTTGATGTCCTCCTAACCTAGTGGCAAAAGCAATTATCCCAAATCACTGCCCTCTGCAAATATTATCTATGCCATCCTCAGGTCTTGGGTCACTGCAGGGAAAGGGCAGATAACTCTCAGGCCAACAGGCAAAATTGGGTGAGTTTTCCATATCAGATCCAGACAGAAGCTCTGCTGATACCGAATTAAAAGTCACATGACCAGGATCGGAAGACTGAACTCCACATCTCAGGAAGTGACTCATCTTTGTTCTGTGTGGTTATGCTCCCGTGACACTGGGAAATGTCTCCAACTAGACACGCAACCAGGAAGTGAGAGGAAACACCTGCGATGAATCCCTTGCCCCATCCCCGGCTCCCTGAACAGGTGGGCAGCTCCAATTCCAAGCACATTACCGCTGCAATGAATGCCATCTTCCTCGAGTTCATATCCGGGGTCACAGCGGCAGATGAAAGAGCCGTAGGTGTTGACACAGGTTTGCACGCAGGGATTCTCAGTCTCACACTCGTTCACATCTGTTCAAAACAAAAGCACATCGCTATTAGTGTGAAACACACACACACAAACAAGAAAATGTGATTTGGCAACAAAATCTATTATCAAGGTCCCAGATTCCCAGGTACCAAAGATTCCCCCAGCCAGGACCTATCCGATCATGAGCCCACGCTCTGTGAGACCACTAACTGTCATTACAGGCTCCAGTTGAGACTTCAGGCACACCTGTGAGAGATCGCTTAGCCTCTGCTCATGCCTATGAGGGGTTATGTTGAGTAAATTAACTGAAGCAGGCAGCACCATTCCCTGGATTGGATCCAGGAGAGAGTGAGTTCGAACTAGCTCTCATCACTCTGTACTCCTTGACTGTGGGTGTCACGTGACCAGCTGCCTCTGGGTGCTACTGCTGTGACTTCCCCTCCAACCCCCCGTCCTACACCCCCCCCCCCGACATAATGAACTATAACCTTGAACTGTGAGTCAAATGAAGCCCTTTCTCCCTTAAATCTATCAGGGTGCTTTGTCATAACCACGGGAAACATAACAGAGACAGTCTCCAACATACAACCTGAAGAGCTGTAGCCTCCATGTGCACGCCCCTTCTAGGGTGACAAGCCACAACGTAGATAAACGTAACACACGGGTGTGTGTGTGTGTGTGTGTGTGTGTGTGTGTGTGTGTGTGTGTGTCTTCACCTTCCAGGAAGGCTGCTCTCCCAGACTCACCCACAGAATTTCCATGCAGAACCCACTCTTTCCCATGTCCTTTTGCTCTTTTCTCAACCTCATTGACTTCAAAGTTTCAGGTAGATAATCATGGCAACTCTGGAGAATCTGTTTCTTATGAATAAATAGCCTCACTGATTAATCTTGCAAACAATTCTGCTTTCAGACCTTGTCCTCCATTCTCCATGTTATGCAGATAAAGGAGGGGGTTATAAAAAAAAAAAAAGAGCACAAAAGGTCACAGTGGATGCCTCCTCCTGAGTGTGGTGATGGTCCCATGTCAGTACTGATGGGATTGCGTGCCAGCGGTGTGTGTACTGTGTATCAGCTACACATCGGCAGAGCTATTTTGATGTTTCTAAAGATTGAGATACGTGCTCCAGTTCATGTACTAGCAGAGGTCTGGTTAGAACTGCAGGACAAGTCAGGAATCACTTCATAATCCACGGGATTCGTTCTGTACAGCTCATGGCGGGAGGGGAGGCAGAGAATGACCCTTCTACGCAAGCGTCAGCCGAGACTTCGTGGGCTTCATGTGCCCCCATGAGCTTCATGTGCCCGTGGGGGCAGTTCTAGTTGAGACACATTTTCTCCACCCCAAAAGTCCCATTAAGCATCTTAAAGCTCTGAAAAGAGCTTTGACTGTTCTCAGAAGTGAAGGCCTTTGTGGTAAGCAGCTTTTGAGGGGCCGGGCGTAGAGGAAGGCTAATCCCATGCCCACAAAGTGCCTGCTTCCTGCCAAGTCTGGAGCCCTCAGAGGAAAAACAAACAAATGAGGGGCCATGTAGGAAGGGTCTAGTGAGATACCAGCCTGCCCTGGTGCCCAAGCACCCAGCACTCAGGGGAGGCTGGCATGTCTCCATCCAGACTGGGGCAGGGCTGGGCAGGAGAGTGTCCCTGGTGTGCTAAACCAGGCTCAGATAGGTCAGTGTTGCTGCACATCAGGGCTGGCGTCCTTAGTTTCTGGCCAGACTCTTGCCACATGGTGATGAATGAGCTCTCTATTGTTTCCATAGCTCAAAACTACTTTTGAGAGGAAAGAAGGGCTCTACCCTTGCAGCCCTAACTGCCTCTCTCTGCTGGGTTTTTCAGTGGGTATTTAATACTGAGGTCAGGGGACTAAGGAGACAGTTTAGTCAGCAAAGGGCTTGGTGTGTACGCATGGCAGTCTGCGTTCAGATCCCCAGCACCCATGCAAAAAGCCAGGCGTGGTTGCTTGAGCGCCAAGGTAGGCTAGCATGGCTATAAAGCCAGATGGAGTTAGGAGGACCCTGAGGTTTACTGGTCAACAGTCTGAATCCTGAGGGCAAGATGTCCCAGCTGACTCACTGAGCCCTTGGCCTTCCTCCCAACCCTGCCACCACTAAGCCACCTGACTCTGACCAAATGGCTTCTTTATCTGTGGCTCATGGCCACAAACACTCTGCTATCTACATCATAAGACCATTGCTGGGGTCAGTGAGGTTACAGACACAAGAGCTTTGAGGAGAAGTGAGGTGCCACAATTGCAAAAGCGTGACAGGACCCGTCACAGCCTATGTGACCTGTGGGCCCTGCTGATGCAATATCCTGGTGGCCAGGTGCCCGTGTCCAAGCCCAAGAGCTGCCTAAGGACACTGTGCCAGCCTCTAAGGGAAAACCTGGGCTGGCACCTCCAACCCCGGCCTTGGCCCCAAGAAATCATCATCAGCTCTAAGCCGCTTATCTCAGCAGCGAGGGAGCCAGGCGCCTGCTCCCAGCTGCCATGGGAAGGAAGGGCCCTGTTTTATTTATTTCCTCAACCTCCTGGCCCAGCTCTGCTCTCAGACAAAAAAAAAAAAAAAAAAAAAAAAGACCTTGCAAAAGCAGGCCAGGCAGGGGCTTCTTGGAACAATTAGCAAGACCAGCTTTAAAGGAGAGAGAGCCTCACAAAGACTCCAGGATCAAACCCTTGAATGCTGATGCCTTCCTGTTTATCCAGTGATTTAGATATGGTTAAACTAATGGAGACACAATATCCTCTGAATAGCTGGCCAGGAGCCTGCCCGCCAGAACTCACTCAAATGGTGTGACAAGGAAATGGGCCCTGTAAACCTGTGGCAGACTCCAACAAAGGCCCCATTCTGTGTCATTATCCAGATCAGGCCGCAGTTAGGGCCTGGAGGCTGGAGCCAGAGGTGGATCCCAGGCCAGATCATGACTTACATTAATTCTTTGGGTCTTAAGGCTTCCATTGACTTCCTGAGCAGAAGAAATCTTCCAATAGGAACCACAATGCCCACAGAGATCAGGGTTGGAAGCAATCGTGTGAAAACCAGAAAGTATCTCTCTTTTATTCTGCTTTTGTGCAGTCTTTTGAGGTGCCAGGGATGTAACTCACCCTTGACTGTGCTGGGCAATAGATGCTCCTGACATAGATCAGAGGAAACACTCCTGGGAGAGATCCTGAAATGACGCACGAAATACTCGCATGGTGCCTATGTGTTTGTCAGGGTCAGGAGCTCTAAAAGCAACTCCTGAGAGCAGACACAGGATGACAGGGGGCTCACAAACTCATAGGGTTCTTCTGATGGATGACTGCGGCTCTGCCCTCTGCAACTCCTTTTTAGCTGTTTCAGGGATATCACCAGCTCTAGTTTCAGGGATTGGTAAGAAGTGACTAGGAATGAGGATACACTTTAAGGACAAGTGTTCTGCAGACATCAACTGTCAGACTCTGAAGGTGACTGCATCTAGTGTTTCATATCGTGATGGGAGATGTCACTCTGTAAATATGTTTCTCATACTGATTAATGAATAAAGCACTGTTGGCCAATAGGAAAGCAAGACAGGCAGGACTAGGAGACAAGGAGGAAAGAGGAAGTAGTAAGGAGGAGTCAGCATGTAGAGACCAGGGAGAACACACTGCCAGCCCGTCTCCAGTAAGATGAGACCACGTGGAAATACTTAGATTAATAGAAATGGGTTAATAATTAAGACAGAGCTAGCCGATAAGAAACTAGTAACCGGCCACACATTATACCTAATACAGTGTGTCTGTGTGTTATTTGGGGCTGGCGTGCTGGTGGGACCAGACCGGCGGCAGGGGAAAAACCTACTCCTTACAATATCGTGTCCAAGTTATCACACATGTCACATACCTTGGCATGATCTTCCATCCTCATTGAGGGTGAATCCAGGGTTGCACGTACAGGAATATGATCCAGGAACATTTGCACATAGCTGCTGGCAGTAACCATAGCGACATTCATCAATATCTGCAAATAAATGCAGGCAAGATAAGCCAGGGCTTCTCCCTGAAGCCACCATCAGCACAGTGCCATTGCCCTCATCTTCTAGGATGGGACTAGAAAGGGTTGTGGAAGGGGATGGCTGCTAAAACAGTGCCTACTACGTGTCAGGAATTATGATGCCCTGTGGCTCACAGTGCTCATCTTTCCTTACAATCCTCTACCTCCCCCAATCTTTGTTCCATAAACACCTGAACCCATCATGAAATCTGTGACAAAATTGTTCTGATTTGATTGGGATATTACACCAGGTAGCTTCTCAGCACTTACCCAACTCAGGTTTGACTAAGACTTACGCAATATTAGGTTTCAATGCTGTGATTCTCTGTGATCTTTTCAGGGCCCTGAACATGAACAAGTTAGCTTAGCACGTATAGAGATCAACAGAAGCGTTCCAGTGGACTCTCTGTTGGCTCCACCGAATGAGTATGTCCAGTTGGCAGGAACAGGATGAGGTGGGCAGTGCTACATTGAGCCCTATGAACATGGTGATTCAAGGGTGCTCACATGGGCCTGCCTTGGCTCTTACCCTTACACTGGAGTATACACAACCCCCCCCCCAGATAAACACACTCCTGAGCCATGGAAAGCAGCAATACGATAGGAGTGTGTGTCTTCAGCAGACCTGTGTTGTATGACCTCCCTATAACATGTGCCAGCCCATGAGGAGCCTGATGCCATTGGGAAAGTCCTTTGTAACATTGCAGGCTGAGAGAGTGAATGAGCTGGGCAAGTCACTCCTATGAGGCAGAGTGCCTCCAATGAAACCTTCGTTCTCCGGGAAGACAGTGTCCTTACACAGGCTCAGCTGGGACCAATTGATCTGACTGTGCTATGAAACCTAATGTCTCCCTGGGACCTCAGCTCTTAGAAAGGTATACATAGTGTTTTTTGTGCCTTGACCCCTCTGTCCAGTTTCTACCACTTACAGCTAGAAAGAACTCTCCACCCCCAGCCCAACCCATTGCCTATTTTTGAGCCCTCATTAGATTCTGTATCCTGCCTCGAGATTCTGCTTTATCTCAGTTCCATTTGCTTCTAATATAGTCCAACAGCACCCCCCTGAGATGGGCAGCTCATACTTGGAAAGCCTTTGACCTTGTATAGTTTCTAATCCTGACCTCTTCCCAATACACAGCTGGAAACATCACCAATGCCTGGAGAAGCATTAGAGGCAGAGAAGGTAGCCTTTCCATTGGGGTATGGAGGAAGAAAGACAGCCCTATCCCTTGTTTTTCTGAGAAAAGGCATGGGATCAGCCAAAATTAAGAAAGGTCTCTATGTCAGAGGTGAGCACTAACGGGCCATGTCATGTCCTTACTTTTCCGAACCAATGAGCATCCCTCCAATAGTGCTCTGTGGAAGGTTGTGGGACAACCTTCACAAGCAGAGGGCAGCATCTTTTGTCATCTCTCAGATGGAGAGATCTGCCCTCAGGGTATCTATGGTGGGCCCACGTACCATGCCTCACATCTCTCTAGTGCCTTTTGTGGTAAGAAAAAAAGTCTAGTTGGAAGAGCCAGAGACATCAATATTAGACCCAACTTGTTTTAAGTTTATCCAAAATGTTCCTCCTCTTTGAGTTTGCCTCCAACTCTATAAAAGTTAGATGACATAATATCTAACATCCTTTCCAGATCTGGAGTCCTGCATAAGAAGTCCCTGTACAAATAACTCTCTCCTGCGGACCTGCTTACATTCAAACCAGTAGCATCACAGTTTCCATTAGAGCAGAGGTTGGTTTGAATGCATAGAGACTATGGTATTCCCAGATGCCCTCACCATTGGCTCAGAGCCATGCCAAGACCAGGCAGTTTATCACACCTCAAGGATGATTCAGACTGGTCACAGAGCAAACACAAATTCAGCCTCAATCCAGAGACCGGAAGGAAAGGTTTCTGGTTTTTGCTTTGTTTCCTTTCATATCTTTCCCATACTGTTGTTTGAATCTAATTCTGAGGCAACTTGTCTAAACGCAAATCCAGATAATAGGAAAAATTAGCCCTAGACAATGCCAACTACAAGGGATAAAATTGCCAATCGCTAATGATTGACACCTTTGAAATAAAAAGAATGTGCACAGCTGTAAGGTGGGCTGAGTGGAGTGGCAGGGTATATCGGTGCTAGGATAAGTTGGAACTCCTGGTTTACCTTTGAGATTTGGAACATTTCTGTACCTAAGCAAAAGGATCTCCTTGGTTTAGGACTATTTCTAACTTGGATAGAACAGCTCTCACTTCTATTACCTTCTGTCTTGGCTATAAACTCTCTGAAGGCAGGAAGTTCTCGGCAAACTTATGCCCAAGCCCAAGTTTCAAAAGAATATGAAATGCTACTAATGATGAAAGCTTATTTTAATGGATGGTGACATGTATAGGATCATTTAATAGCTTTCTATACATGCCCAAAGAAAAGCTTTCTTGGACCTCCCTACCGTACCGACATTGTGCTGTATCCTTGACAACCATTAACTCCCTCTGAGTTCCTGGGAGCCATGGGGAGCTCTTACCTAGGCACTGGCCTTCCAGAAGCCAGTACCCATCAGTGCAGGAACAGGTGTACCCTCCTTCCGTGTTGATACAGATCTGGGTGGGGTTGCACTGGTGTGAGTCTGTCGCACACTCGTCCACATCTGTAACACAAGAATTATTCCAGACAGTGTCACCCCCATCCAGGAGCTCTGAACTCACCTGCCACTGCCTCTTTATCTCAGCTGGGAAGCTGTTGGTATATTACTGGGTTGCACCAAGATACAGAAGCACCTTCCTGGTGGGCACTTTTGAGGCACACTGGCCTCAAATTAGAATGGGCAGAGCTGGTCTTGCACAGAGAAACACACAAAAGGGAGGAAACATGGCTGCATGCACTCGCCCTCAGCCATTGCCAACCGTTTCTGAGTATACACTATACAAACAATGACACATTGCTGTCTCCACCCTCTCCTGCCTACCCCTTCTTGTCATCTCCTCTTTCATGACTGTGACAGGATTTGTTCACTGACATCTACTCACCAAATGGGCCATCAGGCAGTCAAACATATCATTAAAAGCTGCTGTCCACTGTGTGAGGTATGCCCAACCCCCCACTTATCCTCATGGAACTCCATGATTCCAGTTTACCGCTGGGCAAACAGAGCTGAGGGAGCAGTGCGCACCAGGCCACACGCTTAGGCCATGCCCGCTCCTGCCTGACTCATGCTTATCCATGAGGAGATAACAGGGGACACAGCCGGGACCAGGAAGATGCAGGAGGACCTAGCCAAGCAGCCTGAGCCTTAACTGCCTTTTCCATGCCCTGCGTCACAAAGCTGCTGGTTGACACCGCAGACTGCAGACTTCCTTCCCATCCACACAACTGGTATCTTTGGGCTGAGGACATAGCTCTGTGTTGGTGTGGCTGCGTGGCATGCCTGAAGTCCTGGACTCAGTCACAGATACCGTATCTGCATGTGGACAGTGGAGGTTAGGCACTCCAGGGCCCAGAAGTGTGAGCTCCTTGAGACAAGCCTCTGCATAGCACTGGGGTTGGCATGCTAAGGAAGCCAGCGCAGCTGAGAGTGACATTCAACCTGATAGGCAGTGGCATCGTTGAGTTCAATGACACTGCCACAACCCACTATCCACTGCATCCCAACACTAAGAGAAAACTCTGAAGTGGCAAGGTGTCTGGGTCCTATGGGGAGCCAGTTTGCACTGCTCTAAGCACAGATGTCCTCCAAGAACCTGGGTCTAAGGCGGTGCCACCTCCATTCCACCCTGACACTGTGACAACATGCAAAGCCCCAGCCCAGCTCTCTGCTGCAAACTTCTGCCCCTGCCTTTTGCCTCCAAACTCTGCCCATACAGCCCAGCCTCCCAGGGGGGCTGGGGAATAATGCTTGGCCAGTGGCCACTCCTGTCCCAATCCACATCCAAGCTTATGGCAATAAATAATGCCACCATCGGCCAGGACATATTTACATTTTCCCAGCAGGGCGTGATGGGTGGTGATTATACCCTGGGAACAACCCTGCCTTGGGAGTCTCTGCTCTTGCCCCTGACTTGAAGATTATGGGAACTGAGGGTAACCAACGGGAAGTAAGGAGCTGTTGGAGAGCCAAGGTGACAAGTCCCCAAGCCTCTGCCTCTGTGTGACATGTAATATAAACAATATGGCTGGCTGAACAGCTCAGCAGAAACCAATCACGGGAGACGGACCTCGGAAGGACATGGAGGACCTCAAAATGGGCCTACTGTGCATGCAAACTAAAGGTTTTACCCTCTGACACCCTGTTTCCACATATGGGTATATAGTTGAAAATTTAGGGTCAGCAAGGCGGTTCAGTGAGTAAAAAGGTACCTGCCACCAGCCCTGGCAACTTGAGTTCAGTTTCTGAAACTCATATGGTGGATAGACAGAACTGACTCACAGAGTTTCTTCCGCGAGTTTCACACGCATGCCATAGCATGACCTCCTACACACAAATGCCACACAAATAGATAAATAAATAAATAAAATTAATTTTTTATTTAATTTCACTTAATTTAATTAACTTTCGCTACATTTTTAAAACAGAGTTGTCAATTTGAGTCTGTTTTGAGAACACAGGATCAGTAGATCCCTGGAACAAGAGTGCCATTACGCCCCAGCCAGGCTTCCTCAGCCAACTAAGTGACAGGACTTTGGGATATGGGATTTAAAAGCAGCCACCACCCTGCAAACCACTGTCTGCTAACCCACCTGCCAGAGGAGCCCAACCTGGAAACGCTCACTGTGTGGTGAATGAGGCATTGCAGAGTCCAACTCGAAGCTGAATTGCTTACATTAAACACATCTGACTTAAGTAACAGAAGGAAAAATACGTAGAATGGCTCCAAGGACATTCTTTGGCAGGGTGTCCTTTTCTGCATCAGTGGAAAAGCACAAGTTACGGCAACCTGAGCAGGTGTCATTATCCTCGAGTGCAATCATGTCTATTTCCTTTCCCGTGTGATAGTTAGGAATGGTCTCCATAGGGAAAAGAGTGCCGAGTGAGCACAATCACTCATTCATTCACTCACTCATTCATTATGTGTGCTCTATGGGCTCTGTGTGTGTGTGTGTGTGTGTGTGTGTGTGTGTGTGTGTGTGTGTAGGGGGGGCAGAGAACCATCTGGGGGTCTGGCGTCAAGCATAACCCTCCTGTCACACTACTAAGTATCTTCTGCCGACTCCCTGCTTCATCCAGGAGCTACAGCCAGTCAGCCGCCTGGCACCTAGATGAGTCTAACCTCTACCACAGTAATTGTGGCTGGTTCCTCTGCAGGTGGAAAGTCTAACCTCTACCACAGGTGAGCAGCCCCTTAGCATCTGGGGAAAATACTCATGATATTTTCTGGAACCTGGAAAAGCCCAGTGTTGTCCCTGCCCAAGAAGAAACCCTCCTCTGCATCTAGCCCCGCAGCCTCATTGCTGTCCCATGAGGCACTGGCTAAGCTGTCACTGCCTGCATCCTTCACCTGCCCTTAATGTAGTGTTCTCAGGTACAGGCTGTTCACTCAGAAAAGGCACCAAACCAGTCAATACTGTGCCTTGATGCCTTTGGAGGAACTCACAGGCAAAGTGGGTTCCTTGGCCCAGGACAGTGTCATCATGATGTCACCCAGCAAACGTGTCACGCTGCTAGCTGTGTTTCATTTCCTCAGCCAGACAATGAGCTAACATGGGCAGGTAGGCCACGGCAGTAGGAAGGAAGGAAGGAAGGAAGGAAGGCCCTCTGAGTCTGTTCAAGGTCTCACAGAGGCACAGAAAGGAGGTACCGGCTTCTGCCATCACAACACAACTGGCAACTGGTAACAACATTCAGTCAAGAGGCAGCAGGAGAAGGACCTGCCTCCCACAAACTATGACAGGCACTAGACCCAGAGCAAAGGTGTGCAGTGGAGGTCGGGGTCCTGGCACCCTACTTTTTAAGTCTGCTAACGACTCTATAGGTACCCTGCTGCTGGCTTGTGTCCAGTTGATGTCCCTTCTCAGGAAGCATCACATGGCACTGATTGAAATATAAAATGGTTGAAAGAGCAACCTTAGCGCTGATTCTCAGTTAATTGGCTAATAATTTCCCTACATGAGCACAACAAACAATGTATGGTCATAGATACATTGCAGTATAAATAGCATGTAAATGTGTGCCTGCCACACGGAGTGTTCCTAGAGAGACACATCTACATTTCAGCTTTTACCCCTGAAAGTTGACAGGGAAGCATTTAGATGGTTTTCACGTCATAAATTCTAACTAAAAGAAAGCATTCTTTAAAAACTTGGGCAGGAAAGCTGACTCAGCAGTTAAGAGTGCTTGCTCTCTTTCTAGTGGCCCTGAGATTGGGTCCCAGAATTCTAGGAATTTAACCCTCTCCTGGCCTCGTGAGCGTCCGCATACATGCGGCATATAGGCACAAGACACATATGCATAAATAAAAATGAATCTTTAAAATGGTTGTGTAAGCTGGATGTAGTGGCACATGTCTGTAATCCCAGCACCTGAGAGGTTGAAGCAGGAGGATTACCAAAAATTCAAAGCCAGCCTGGGCTACATACTGAGTATTAGGCCAGACAGAGCTACGTAGCAAAACACTATGAAAAAAAAAATGAATTAAAATTTTAAAATATAGATGACAGGAATGGAAAGATGGCTCAGTAGGTAAAGCCACTTGCTTCCGAGCCTGATGGTCTAGGTTTGATTCCCAGGACCCATGTGGGAGAAGAGAGCATGGACTCACATAAGATATACCTCCACCTACATACCACAACATGTGGAAGGATACATACATACACATATGTGTGCATACATACACACATGTAACTTTTACAAATTAAAACTATAAAAACAGAGCATTCGTGGTTTCCCGCATGCCACAGGAAGAACATTTCCTGGACCATTCTCTCAGCACCAGAGTTTAAGAGGGGAAGTCAAACCACCAAGGGGGTGAGGCCCCCTCAGAAAAGGCTGCCGTGTAAAGGCTAAGAACCAAAATGGCTGAGGGGATGCGTGTGAATCCAGGTTCCTGAACAGATAGCTGAGGACGGCAGAATCTAGCCTCCCCTGGAACCCAAGGGTGTTCCACCTCTTAGGGAGACTTGTTAAATTACCAAGCATACCCACCCCGCCACCACTGGCTGCCACAGAGCTGGTGTTCGGACATGGCAGTTCATTTACCAGTGACAACTGTGGGAGACAGGGAAGTCTGGCTTCTGCCTCCTGCAGACTCTTCCTCTCATGCTCTACAACTTAATAGAGACACCAAAACCTCAGCAGGGAGGCTCAGCGGGCTGTGTGGGCCTGGCCAGGGCCTCTCTCCCTCCCTCACACCCCACACATTGCACAGTAGGAGATTATGATGAGAGGGGGAAATGACAGGCACAGTCTTTCAACAGCATGCCACTTTCCACCCCGGTACGCCAGCATCCGCCGATCCCTCGAGGATGGCAGGCAAGCGATGCACGGAGACCAATCTTACAGAATTCCACAGCCACTCCTCCACCCCGAGGGATCTGATTTTCCCTCTCTGCACCCAAGTCCCAATTCTGCAGACAAATGAAGCTGACTTAGGCAACCTCTGCTGAACATGCCTGTTCTAGTGTGAGAAAAGCCATCAGCCAAAGCGAAACATCCTT